CAATTTTGCCCCTAAGGTGCATTCTTGTCCGTTTTTGAAATGTTGTTTCCGTATTTGATTCCTTTGGGTCCCGTGACCTCGTTGAGGGTCACAATGGTGTCTTATAGTCATGTTGTATCTCTAGAGACCGTTGTTTGTCTTTTGCTTCCCCATTTCGGATCCGTTATCGGATCATCTTTTGGTTCATCATTGATGCACCGGGTTGAAAAACTTGGGCCGTCATACTTTATAAGGTGAATAGTGGGATAAAAAATCCTACTGTCTCCCAAGAGTGGACTGAGGTTTAGAGGGACAAGGACCATCAATCACAAGCTCAAACCTTGGAGCCCACCAAGACTGACCAATGGTCTGTTTAATAATACAGTTAGATTCATTGCGCCCAAAGCTCATACAAGATGTACAGACCATTGGTTTCCATTGATATTCAGCAATGATGTCAATGTATCTACCATCATCAAGTTTGAGCTTGAAGGATTCTACAAAGAGTTTAAAAGCATCCACTTCCACACACAATCTAGCATAGCTTAGCCTTTTCTTTGTTTCAGTGAGTTCATCAACAAACAATGGTCTTCCCACAGCACTCACAATGTGACTGAATCCCTTAGTTATCCAATATTCCCAAGGAATATTGTAGAATTTAACCCACAAAGGCAGAATCTTATAGGTGTCTTTACTAAGCTCCATTCCTTTTGCCATTTCTTTAGCATCATAGGTTTCCCAGCTATCATGCAAGGTCCACTTGCCAAAATGTTGTTACAATCCCTCTTAGTTGAGAATTTGAAGCAGAAAAATCCTTTATCATTTGCAAGGACCTCCTCCAATCCTTTCAAGCCCCACATTTTTGTAACAATGGTTTGGACAAGGGAAAAAGGGAGTATTTTTCTAAATAAAGTACCTTATAAGGCATGATTTCCATTCCATAGCTCCTTCTCAACCATGCAGGAGCGTTAACTCTAAGACGATATGGATATCCTTTAGCAACAACTATTCAAATTTCTAGTTCTGGGCCAGCTTGTTTGGACTTGTTTTTCATGTTTTGCGGGTTGGGCTGCTATCGGCCATCGAGGGATGTTTTTTATCCTTTGCTTTTCTTACTATATAAGCCGTTTGGGCTTCCTATATGGGCCTTTTGTACATTTGTTACATATTTACATACAATTGCTTAACATTTCAAAAAGAAAAAAGAAAAAAGAAAAAAGAAAAAAACAACTCTTAGCATGGCTATTTAAACTAGCATTACACAAACTTGAGATTTGTTTTCTGGTTTTCTTTCCTAGGATATTGGGTCATTACACGTATTATAAATTCTCAAAGAAGTTGAAGTACCATATTGATCCATCCTTAGCGTACAGTTCCCTTTAAGACATCCCTTAAAATTGGACCCACAAAGTAGTACCATTGACATTTTCTACAAATTCTAGTTTGTAGGCTCAGGAACTGGGCATATCAATCACAAAATATGATCACAAAAGAACTAAACAGTTACTAAATTTGTTAGTTATGTGAAAACTCATGGTCTTATCTCCTTTATCTTTTGGAACATTAATTCCATAAAAAAAGAACCATTTATTATTATTATTTTTAATTCTTTCCCATGTAGATTCAACTATAAGAAATAATCAAAGATTCCCTCCCGGTGTGTAGTGCTTCTCAAGCTTTTTCTACCACGGATAAATGGTCCACCTATTGGTTGTGGGCTCCTTCCAACTCCTGAGAAGTCACTAGTTTGCTGTCCCAAAAAAGAAGACTAAGTTCAACTAAAGCAACAAGGCCTATATTAAAGTCTATAAATAAAAAATAAAAAAACATTTCCCCATATGATAATACTAATATCTCCAATCATAGAGAAGGACCACATAGCCCAGAAACCTTTGTTTCTTACGAGAAAAATGGGACATGGTTTTCTCAATGATAAGGATCTAAAAAGGTGGAAATGCTATTATGAGAGAGCTCCTACGTGAGCTTGCACTCGGCCGTTCGGCACACCTCTCCATCTAACGGGTAAAGTCATAAATTGTTGGTGAAAACTTCTTCGGAATACACCTACTCTTATATATATATATATAAATGGTGTATACATACATACAAATTCAGTAGGCATTCACAAAATCGATCAACTACGAGCAGAACCATAAATCCACATGCACATGAGTAGTCTCTCCAAGCCAAGGATCCAAGCAAGTTGTTATACGAAGCCACCAACCCTTTTTTCGAATTGTGAACACCTATTAGTATTACAATGACATGAGCATTTTCACTTTTCAAACTGGACCAATCTCAAGGAAAAAGTGAAAAATGTGGTCTTCATACATCTTCTAATAAATGAAAATGTTTACCTACAGAAATTAAGGATTGTGATATACAAATCTAAAAGACTAGCAGATTCATAACGCCGAAGTGGTTCACAGTAAGGGTTTCACATTGTGCAGATATTGTATACTTTGCATTCTCTAGTCAAGTCACGATTTTTGTAACAGGTGTTTACAAAGGCAGGAGACAAGCCTTTTACAAGGGCTAACTTCTTTTTTTATATAGGTTCCACATAGCTGCATTAGAGGATCCTGAACACTTCAACCCTCTGAATCCTAGGGTCCACTAGCTCATATTTTAGGCTCAAAATCTACCACCGGCGGCGAGGAAGACTTGTTCAAAGTTCAACAAAGAAAATTCTACTCCAGAGAGTCACAAGGTAGCCTGAATATTCATAAATAGAGACAATTGAGAACATAAAGCTCTTTGTTGAAATGAAACTAACCCAAAAGGAATTAAGGAACCTGTTTGTAATTCTATGTTCATGAGAATATATTCCATTTTTTCATTTTTTTTTTTACTAGGTTTTTAGTTCTTACGAAGCTAGAAATAATTTATTAGATACCTCCTAATTAATTCTCACATTCTTGATGTGAATTGTTTCTAATTCAAGTCAATTTGATGAAGCAGCGAGTCAACTCTGTAAGTTCAAGACCGATGCCTCTAAAAATATTAACTATCATCAAAATCTGCATAACCAATGTCAAGCAATCTGAATAAAGGGAGTGTATTCCCATTTTTTTTTTTAATTAGGAAAAAAAAAAAAAATCCCATTTTGTACTAGGGCTCTGTTTTTTTGGATGTAAAATATTTTTTATTTTTATTTTTGTGGTGTTAGTTATCGTAAAATATTTAAAAAGAAAAGAAAAATGTTAAAATCAAACAAAATTAACTTATCAATCAATTTCCGACAAGTTATTTTACATGCCTTATTTATGGACTCAACTTATACTTTTGCCAAATATCAAAAAATAAAAAGTAAAAAAATTTTGCCTAAAGAAGAAAAATATATTTCGAAAAAGATATTTTATATAGAAAAAACAGAGCCTAGGTTTTAGAATGATACCACGTACCCACGAGAGAAATGAGCAAGTGATAGAAGAGAAAATATAGTACAGTAGAACAAAACATTCACTATAGAGGGAAGGAACCACCATTTCAAATGCAATTTTGTGCTTCCTCCGGTAAATTATATATGTTCAATGCATGTATTTGGTTTCTATTTCTTAATGAATAGTGATTTAGGACCGAATAAGGCCACGGCTCTTATACTGAATTCACTAACTACCAAATTCGAACCTTAAATAATTATTTTTTCTTTATATATTATTCTTGGTTTACAAGTTTTTGGTATTAGGCCGTTGTGTCCTCAACTTTGGTATTGGGCTTGGGCTTCTTGCTTTAACTTAATTGGGTTTACAGACCAATGGACCGATACTTTCTCTTTTTATTCTGGGCCTGTCTACGTGTCAATTCTTCATTGGTTCTTTACTTGCACAGATGTCCTACTTCAATTGGTCGGGAATTCTCCCTCCACACATCTTTTGATATCATCTTGATAGAGAATGAAGAATTGGGATATTTATGTTTTGATGGCAACTATACAGTACAAAGAGTACAGACCCACCACTATTGTTAGCTTTGGATAAAAGGTTTGGAGGGCTAGTAGGGTTTGAATCTTTAAATCTTATGTCCTGGAGATATGAAAGATGATTGAAAACTAGAGGATATTTTTCTATCATTCCCCTTTTCATTCTCAGAAGAATAATCATCTTAGACAATGCAAGACTTAGCATTAGGCAATGTGGGCTCAATATAGTTTGAGGTCTTAGACCAATAATATAAAAAGTGACTTTTAATATGCAATATATTAATAGAAATTGGGAGTTAATTCTTTGAGCCTACTATTAGTGCTATTGGTTTAGGTTTAATAAGGAAATAAAATTTTGGGCCTCTCCGCCTATTGGTTGAGAAGAAGAAATTTTTTTTAAAAAAATAAATTACCTAAGGAAATATATTTTTTTGGGGGCCTTCTATTGGTTGGGGCTTTATGTAGCCGCCTAAGGCTCCAACTGCCCTTGCATGTCGCTGTAGTACAACAAATTTCCATGCAACAATGACATAGAATATCTTATGTTGCATTTGGATGTATCGAATTGGTATTCTAGATTTGGAATTGGAGCAAATTTAATTCAAAAATTTAATTAAACTTTCTCCAATTCCAAAATCCAAACGGTCAATTTAGTGATCTCAAATATAGCATCAATGTATTTCTGTGTGGGATGTAAGAATTCATTTGACGCGTCCATGATCTATCCTAATGGGTGTGCTTACAATTGAGGGATCGACAAACCCTCCTTTAACCGTTGGATCATCTATCAGGTGAGCTCTACCGCTACATCCAACCGCTAGGAGACCCAAGAGTACGTTATACCCAGATATTCTAGAAATTTAAGAGAAATGAAAAGTTTTGCAATACCCTGGATATTGTACAACTTCTCAGTCTCTCAAGCCCTTGACCCCAATATACCATTAGTCTTCTCCCATAACAATACAAAGCCTAATACCCTAATGTACTGAATCATACAACAACTCAGCACAATTAATCCCAACGACCAGTTGGGTGAAATTCTCGGGAAAAAAAAAAAAAATCTACTTGCTGATGATATTAAAAAGCAAAGAAAAGGACTACACAAATTCATTAAGAGGTTGTCCTTTGACAGTCTTCACTGACTGTCCTTCCACCTCTTGTCCTCCTCAGCCTAGCTTGCAACATGCTATGGTTCCTGTGAAAACGAATCACATTTTGTCACTCCCTTTGAAGATTTTTTTTTTTTATATAAAAAATCTATTCCCCCTACTACCTCCCTCCTGCTTAAAAGGAGCTAGCATTGCAGTCAGTTGCCCCTAACACATTCCTTTTCTTGCATTCACCGACGCACCTTAACCATTGATATCCAAACTCACTAAAAAGAGTAATGGCGTCGAGTTCTCTCACTTGTTCGCGTACTTCCAGCTCCTCCTTCTGGACGCTAAAGCAGAACAAGCAATTTGAAGAGGCCCTGGCTTTATATGACAAGGACACACCGGACCGCTGGTACAATGTAGCCAGGGCTGTGGGTGGGAAATCAGTGGACGAAGTGAAGAGACACTATGAAATACTTGTGAAGGATATCATGCAGATAGAGTCTGATCAAGTACCTTTACCCAATTATGGCGCCAGTGGGAGCAACAGATGAGGAGGATTTGGTCATGAAAAGAGGTATAACATTGGTTTTTCTCCACTTGTATATCAAATCCTCTCTTTCCATGAATTTTGTTCTTGCTTGCATTGTTTATAAATCTTATTTGAAAATACTCATAATTAAAGTAATTTAAATTCATGCTTATATATCTTATTTGAAATTAATTTTTTGTTTATTTGATCCACCTTGCACACCTACAAGTTACAATAAATTAGTCAGTGCTTCTTGTGTTGATAGGGATCACCTAATGATGCAACTATTTTTTTTTTTTTTTTTTCACACATTACTTTTACCATTCATTAATCCCAGCCCTGCCCACAGCAAGTTTTCTTGGATCAATTTGAAACTTACAGCAGCATTTGTAGTTCAATAAACACACACATACAAACACACACAAAAGATACAATTTTCACTACTGATCAAGCGCATTTAACCACAAACAGTATAACTTATACTACTCTTCTATTGGTAGTTCTAATATTTGATTTGTATCTGAATAATTAGAAATATTCATTGAAAACTAATGCTGATTTTTTTCTTTTCCTATTTTCCCAACAACAGGCTTAGAGGAATTTGAGGCTCCAATGAAGCAAAAACTGCAGATTTGCTATGGATAAATTTTAAAGAAAAGCAGACATAAAAATTCATAAAGTTAGTTGCTTAAAGGTGGTTATTGTGTTCTATTTCTTTGTGTTCATAGACGAACTTGTGAACCTATGCACTATCTGCTCTCAATTTGTGCTTATTGTAATTAAAGGGTTCTCGATCTAATCAAAAGATGTATTATATAATGCATGCTTTTGTCTATTAGATCATACTTTTACTAGTTCATACTTATAAAACAATCAATTGAACAACAAAATCAAGTGAAAGCCTTTAAACCATGAAAATTTTGCTTTTTGTTCACTTCTCATAAAGAACTGAAGATCTTAACATGTTTTCTTTAGATCTCTTTTCCGGTAACAACCTATTCGGCATGGATAAGACACGTGTTTGACACCGATATACATGAAATACGGTTGGACACGCCTAAAAATTACAAGTGACGATGGAATAAGACAAAACATCAGATGACGGTGGGGTAGTTTTGAAATTATTTTTCTTACAAGAATTGAATTCTAAACTTATTTTAAAATATATAATAGGTTAATTAAAAAATAATATAAAGTTTTAACAAACAAAAGCAACATTCATCTAAATAAAAGTTCCAAATTAGTGATTTCATGATAATTATTTTGATTAAAATGAGCAAAAAATTATTATTATCATGTATATACTATAATATATATTATATTATAGAACTAAAATCATAAAACTTCCCTATTCTTTGTCAAAACGATATATAACCTCCTCAATTATTAAAAAATCCTTAAACTAACAAAAACTATCACATTGCCCCATTTCGGTAACAGAATCATTAAATTATTGTGAAAAATATTTTATTAAACTGAAATTGTTGATTTTAAATGACAATTTTGCCCTTCATGTCTCTACACTCACACACGTGTCGGCAGCCCATTGGATGTTGACTTAAACTTGACTTTTTTATCATCCCAGGACTTGAATGGTCTATGGATCCAGTTGATTGGGGAATAGTAAATAAACTTACTTTTTCCTCGCATGATTCTTACCAGAATTTTCCAGCCATGATACGATCTATGATTTATAAAATAAGTCACCGCTGGAACTACAGTCGACACCTGACATTCTGGATTTCTAGTTCAATTGGAAGTTTCGAAAAAACTCGTTTCTTCCAACCATATCAAATCTGGTATCTCAAATTCACCGGACAGGATGATGACAATGATTATGAGCATCACAAACTGCTCAATTCTGAGGAACTTGCTAACAGCCTCGATCCTTATTATTATGAGATTCACAGTTTCTTACATCTGCAAGATACTGCCAGACGTGTTCTTGATGGATCATATTACCACCAGGAACCCATTTTGTATTGTTGTGATGGACGCAGACTCTTCATCACCACCATTCGTTGTTACTATGCGGATGTAAATGAAGGCGAACGCCAGGTCCAAACTGCCAAAGAATTCTTAAAAGATATTGTCAGAATGACTCTACTCGACATCCCTTCTCGCGTTAAAGATGGTGCTGAACATCTTAATCTTGAATGGGACATTGCAGATGCACAATCGCCTGCCAGTACCCCTCCTCTTGATGAATATGAACTCCATAATATCATCAATGCCATGGAAGGATGACCGACACTCTTCTCCAATCGACTGCAGCCTAATCCAGCACACGACAGAAGACTATCTTGTCTACTTTGTCTAAAAGCAAAAGTAGCCGAAAGTTGCCGACACACTATTCATAAACAGTGAAAGTTGCCGACACAAACAGTAAAAGAAAGATTCCTTCTTATCTTCTCCGGAACTGTTTACCTTTTGTAATATTATTTAAACCAAAGCTCCAGCATAGTTTTGGATATCTGTTTTTCCTCCTCTGTTTTCCCTCATTTGTTTTGAGGTTCTTTCATGTAAAGTTTGTTTTAATTTAAATTCCGCACTCTTTGTAATTGGTATCAGAGCCTATCTTCGATTCTGGACCACTGTAAGTTTTCTAAATAAAGTTTTCAGTTCAGTTGTGCTTATGAGATATATATCTTTGATGTTTGTCTACTGTTAAAAGCCCAGATTATCCTGTCTTTGCTTATTTGTCACTGTCTGTATGACCTTTTGACTCTGTTAAGCTGCTTACAGGACCCTTTGGTTTTAGGCACCAGGACAGTTTCCCCCAAACATCTAAATATCTATCACTATGGCACACACTACTTCTGTAAACTGTATACGAAACCTTGCAGGTCACGATATCGAAAATGAAAACTATCGTCATATCGCCCATTTTAATACTACAGAACCTGTTTCTTTCCCTCACGTCGGTGCAGGACTCAACTTTCTTGTCGACATGGTTACGGACTGGAAAATCGACTTCCAGCATAATTTAGAGGCAACCAATACCCATATGGCTTCCTCTTTTGATGATGTTCAACAGGGACTACTCTCCCTTAATGACAAACTTGAAACTCTTACCCAGATTTTCACTCTTTCCACTCCTCCTGATAAAGCCTTGCAGGACCAACTAAATCAAATGACTCTTGATTTAGCCAAGCTTCAAAAAGCCAAACTGTCGGATCTATATCCTCCAGATCCTCCTGATCCTCCAGCTGCAGATCTTCCTTCCAAAGATACTCCGTCTGAAGAAACAGATCAACCCTCTGTTAACAAACCAACCAAAATCCGTTACAAAGTCAAACCTTTGTTTTACGGCCATGAAGACACTGTTGAAAACATCAAAGTTTTCTCAACACCTTCTTCATCCTCCTATCGCCGCGATGACTATGATAGCATCATAGATCAGCTCAGTTGCTTACAAGCACTATACGTCGATCCAAAGCTCACGTTTGATGAAAGCGCTCATATCATCACTCGTATACGACAGATCTCCTTACAAAACGAGAATCTACTTACTCACTTTGGTTACACCCCAAATGAGACCTCTAGTTCCTCTGACGAAGAAAACACATCTGAAGATGAGCAAATCTATGCTTTTTCAGATAAATCAGATTCTTCCGAAGAACTTGATGAAACTATTCAAGCCGATCCGATTCCGGCATCTTCCTCTTCTTCTGAGACACGTCTCGAAAAAGCTCCAAAGCCATCCAAAGGGAAAAAGAAACGTCAGGCTGATACGATTCTCGACGAATCCTTCTATGGCGACTTTCCTACTGAAGATTTTCTTCCAGCAGAAGAAGTCTCTGGTTCTGGTCAAAAGACCGACGATGAAAGCAAAGCTAAACCAGCCACAGAACCCAAAATTTATACCTCTTCGTATAAATACGACTTTTCTACAGTCCCTTCCACAGTCCCAACCTGGACACGAAAAGATGACCTCAATAAGTTCCCCATTTCACAAAATGGCACTTATCTTGATCTTACACATGTTCCTTATAAGGACCATTTAAAAACCATTGACGAATGGGCTCAGTCTTTAGCTATTCTCGTCAATAACTACAAAGGAACCTGGGAACGCCCCCGTTTTCTTGATTACCTTTCTGCAACCCTCCAAGGCGATGCTCTGGACTGGTTACGACAATGGGATCAAACTCCTCAAGGTAAACAGCAAAAGGATGCCCTGTTAAATAACTTCGATAAAATCGATGGCGTTTTACGTGGCTTTGTTAAAATCCTTAAAGAAGAATTGGTCGGGCATACTGGTGAGCAACTCCTCACAGATGATGCAACATGTGCTCTTTCGAAAATCGAATTATGCAATATTTGCCAATTCCCTGAATACGTCAAGCTATTTACCAAATACTTTCGTAGACTTCCCCCAAATGCGATCGAACATTGGTTACCCCAGTTCTTTCACAAACTTCCAAATCCTTGGGATGAACTTGCAACAAAAGGTTATCCCGATTTCCTCGTTCGCATCCAAAAGAACGATAATATCGGTTTCAGAACCAATTTTGTCTATCGTCTCATCAACGAAAAATGTCTTGAGACAAAAGCCAAAAAGCAGGTTAAAAACCAGATCAATGGCACTGCCGAAGGACAACGCTGCTGCGATAAGATTCTCCAGGAAACCTGGAAAATTGGATGCGCCCCTTACAGAGCTACTTCCTCAAAACGACCCAAACGCAAAAATTTCCGTTGGAAACAGTGGAAAGGTCGACGACCAAAAGCTTCTAAGAAATACGTTACCAAAGCCCCTCCTGCTCACAAACCTGTGACAAGGAAAAAGAAAGGATCAAAAAAATCCTCTAAAGCCCTAGAAACTAAAAAGGACTGCAAATGCTATATTTGCAATGAAGCTGGTCACTATGCCACAAATTGTCCCCAAAAAGGCAAGAAAGCCTCCAAAATGGTTAAACGTTTACAAACCGATAACCTATGTGTTGTTTATGGTAGTGATATCTCCGATCCCTCTACCATTTTGTATGAACTCTCTAGCAGTTTGTATTCTAGCAACTCATCTCGAACATCGCAAACTTCTACTGATGACGACTCAGATATTGAAAGTATCTGCATGATGAACGTTACTCCTTCTAACCCCGAAGAAAATACGAACATCAAACTTAGTGACCTCATTGGAGAAGAAGTCCAGTTCACTAATGAACAATTGATTCAGTTCGATAAACTCCAACGGATCAAAAAAGAAGAAGTGTACAAAACTTCCCGCTTTGCCATCTTTTCTAAACGCATTTTAGAACAATTTAGTGGCAATACAACAATTGACTATACAGCCAATGGTCAATGTGGTTTTAATATCCTCAGTAAGGATAAGATCGATCGATGGAAACAACAAAATCCCCTCGCTCGTTATATCCATATTGGACTTGTCCAGATCAAGATCACTTCACTTTTTCGACGTGGAACTGATCAACCTCTCATCGCTCTACTTATGGATAATCGTTTTCATAAACCCGTTGATGCCCTTATTGGCGGTGTTCAATCCAATCTGGTCAACAACCTTATTTGGTTTAAAATTAAACCAAATTACTTCATTTCTCTTTCGGACCCTAACATCGAAAAGGTCCTTCAAGTCAAACTCCAGTTGTCAAAACTACAAATGGATTACGATTCTCCCAGCCTAGGAATCCAGTGGAAAGTCCTCTACGAACTAACTAGAGAACCCGAAACTGCCACAGTTCCTACGCTTGACTCTAAACTAGTCACTCTGTTTGAACCCAGACCTTTTGATACGATAATTGAGCCTAAACTACTCAATTGGACCGATCTAGAGATCCCTAAAACTTGGTTATTTGATAACATCA